ATTTAATTCAGTTAATTGCTCTTCAGAGAAAAAACAACCTCCCTATTAATATAGATAGTCATCATTCTGATACAAAACGTCTCATAAGGCATCTCTGATTAAGATATTCAGCTGCTGAAACCTGTACCACTGCATCACCTAAAATGAATTCTTAAGTTTATACAAGCTTGTAACATATTTTCCAGAGTCCCACATAAGGAAGCAAATGCCTATGGCATTGTTGATGGGTTTAGGCAAGGAGCAGGATTCAATTGGTCATGCCAGCCACAATATGAATTTTGTTCAAGACCCTTTTGCTGGTAATGTGGCTGATCTGCAGTCTAGCAACACTGACTCTCTCTCTCGTGCTCTATTTATAGAGCTGCAGCTAGAAGTACCACAGGACTACGATTCTCAACAAAATCACGGTCACTGCTAAAGCTCCTTCTGACACTGAGCCTCACGTTAAATTGATGTAGAACAAAATCTTCTTTTTAGAATGACAGAAATTGGATGACATACGCACTTCCCCCATAGGGCTGCATGCAGAAAAACAAACCAGAAATAGGAAATCCTTACTCAATAAGTTACCCAAGCTTCCATTTCTGCAAGTGTCACATCTGAAGTTTTCCAATCAGGTTGCATGAGTTTGTTCTGTTTAGTAAAACATTGCTTTGGCAATTAGAAGGTCTTTCATAACATATAATTGCATCAAAAAGTTATGCAAGCTGAAAATAATGCAGATTAATATATTTACAGTTTATCGTGGTTATACTTACAATTTATTACTGGTCCAGATGAGGTGCTAGTTTATGGAATAGAGATGGCTTGAAAATGGGGCAATTCCACCTGGAACAGGTAAAAGTATTATTTGTTATTTTCAAGCAAAAGTGGTGGCATTCTCAATGCCAGATAGGATGCATGTTTAGACTACCTCTGACCCAAGAAGTTTACAATTCGGGATTAACAAAACTAGGAAAGTAAAGGATTTTTGTGGTTAGGCTTTGCTTTTCTTTCTAGATACTCTCTTTTCAGTTCAGGTCTGAAGCACTGAAGGGTTATCTGGGGAGAGTGCAGCTGTGAGCACCAGTAAAACTGAATGCTGAGGAGAGACCCGAACATGAAGGGAGACGAGAAGGGTTACCAGACCATCATCAGGAGGACTGTTAAAATAAAGGGGCAGAAAAGCAGAAGACAGACAGAAACAGAAAACCACACCAAACAATCATTAGACAGAGCCAGACTTTTTCCTCAGAGTTCAAGATTTTGTACTTGACTGGCAAGTTCCTTTGCTACAGAACAGCTTTTTTTTCACCCAGTTATCCTTTTTTATATACATAGATGGAGAAATGCTGTAGAAATACTACAGCTTGCTTTGAAATCTGCATGTGTTTAAAACTGGATATCAGCTTCCATGGTCCGTAAAAGGCGAAAGATGCATTCGTATTAGTCTTCTGCTTGGGCTGAGGAGCGTGCTTTGAGCTGTATCTCCTTCACCTCCCATTTACTGTGCTTTGGTTCACATTGTGGAGCAGTCTCTGAGCACCTGACCTGGATTGCTTTTACACAACACTAAACCAGAGGATGTGCTCCAGGTGCACTCAGATATCAGACTAGGTTAAGTCCAAAGTAAAACTCCTAAAGGACCTACGACAAGGCCATCATCTTCAGTGCCAGTTTCCTGATTTTTTTTTCTCTGTAGTTCTGCTCCTCTTACACTACTAGTTACTAACATAAGCAGAGATTCCTGCTCTTCCTATCCAGAGTTTCTTTCCAGCAGTGCACGATTTACTGGAAACCTTGTTTTTCTGTTTAGAGCAGAGTTCAGCTATACTGAGCAGTGTTTTTACATGAGCTAATCCTCCATTTTCTTCTCCTTTAATGAATTAAGCTTGTTTCTCCCCTTGATTTTTAAATAAAGGAGATTTTTCATTCACTGCAGTATCGTTCAGAGAAGCAGCAGTACAGTAGTAAACAACCTGTCTTTTTAAGGATAGAAAGATGGAAACAAGCATTCCAGCACTTAATTTCTTAAGCTAACATTACCAAGATGAAATATAGACAAGGCACATACTCCTATGCAAGTAGTAACAACAAGGTTCTGAAGGACTCAGCTTAACAGCTTGGGTCAGGTGATGAGTTTAATAGAAAAGAATTTGTTATTCAGGTCACTTAATGAAAATAAGCGTGGAAGAGCTTAGCAGAGCCCTTAGGGTAGGGTAATTTATTCCTCTTCTGCTTCCATCACTGTAAGTTAACCCACGACATAGAAGCAGCTGATCTAAACACAGACTCAACCTGTCAGAGCAGTGCAGGAGGAAGAGCAGCAATTCCAGTGCCCTGCTGTAATCTCTGCTGCCCCTCCAGTGATAATAAGTAGAATACAGCCTTCAGAGCAAAGGCTTTGCATAGCCCCATCTTTAAAACCAGACAGTTTGTTTGTTAAGATGCAAAACATCAATATCGAAACACTGTGCAAGAAGGCAACAAAACATTCACCACAAGACATACAATTTTTAGCCAATGCATGGATCAGCCAGGCATAGAAAAGAGAAGCCACCGCAGCCATTATTTGCCCTATTCCTGTCTGTGTTGTGGTGGTTTGTTTTGCTGCTCAGCTGTAATCAGAAAGAAGCTTCAGCTCCTGTGATTTGAGGCCTTACACTGATCTGCTCCCATACCCCAGGGAGCCTCTGTGTCTCTGCACCACTGTTTCCCTTTTTCTCTCTTAATTAAAAGTGGTGCAAGCTGCCCAGGAAGACACATGCCTTCCACAGAGCAGCTGCCTGAGGCCTAATGAAGTAGGGCTCCATTTTTGGGGTGAGGGTTTGTGAAATGAACCAGAATAAGAAATGAGAGATCACTTGATAGATACCCCCAATTTGATCCCAAACCCTGGGACAATCATGCTGAGAACCCTAGCTCCAGATTTACAAAACCTCAGGAGACAAGATTAGTGCTATCCCCACCTGTAACACCACGACTTTCTCTGCAAGTGCCCACCCATTTCATATTCTCAGCAGTATGAACATCTCATCTGTGTAAAGCTGAAAATCCTTTTCACAGCCCTGGGTACAGTAACTTCCATATAGAAAAACAAGATTAAATTTGACAGTAACAGGAGTGATGGGGGGGGGAATATTCTTCCTTTGAGGCTCTGATTACAGAAGCCAGTGAGTGACTTAAAAAGGAGGAGAAGAAAGGTAAATGCAGTTATTCAAACATCAGTGCTTTAAAAAAAAAAATGCTTCTGAGAGAGAAAAAAAAGAAAACCCCACACCTTTCTCTTGACATTTAACAAACTACATAAACAAGCTAAGCAAAGGAAAAGAAAGTCAAAGACCTTACAGAGAGCTGCTTTCAGCTGTTTGTTACTAGATATCGTAAAATACATTTAGCCCACCTTGCTACAAGACACGAAGTCCTCCACAAGTCCTCACTACCATTCGCTCTCCTTCCCCACGAGCCCTATTTATAAGCTTCCTCCTGGCTGCCTCTGTAGGGACCAGCCTTGTTAGCAAAGCCTCTTTACACCTGTGTCTGTAGGCTGCCAGAGATTTAACTCGTCAGGTGCCCTATCCAGGGTAGCAGACTTGTATTATTCCCAAAAATACCTCTAGCCACCCAGTGAGCCCTGCTCCAGTAAATGACCCTGCATCTCAGTATGGTGCCAACCTTTGGGAGAGTGGTGTTCTGGTGGATTAAGTCTATCCTAGCAAAAACCAGGACAGCTGTGTATTGTGAGCAGGCTCTGTCCTGCTGTCGCAGCCAGGTTACGTAGCGGTTTATCAATCAACTACAGCCCAGGAGTCTTTAGCTCTTTAGTACTGCAGAGGCACTTAACTTCCAGGGAACCCAGAGTCAGTGGTTAGAGGTTCACTGTCTCATAACCAGTCTTAGGTGTATATCCTACAGAAGGATTTCTAACCGGTTACCTCATCTACTCTATCGCTGTTTTACTTTTGGATTTTTACAGACTGAGTAACGTTTCCTGTCATTAGGCCTCGTTGACAATAGTTTCTCTGAAACACCTTTGACATTTGTCAGGGGAAACAGGCCTACTGTTCACCAAAACCAGCAATCACCCCTTGAGCCGCAGGATGCCAACTGCCAGGGCAAGAGTGGTGGGCACACGAAGTACAGTATGTTTGAGTAATGATTAACACACAACAAAGAGCTGCCTGCGCTCCAAATGGAAACACACTGCGTGCTTGGGATGTAGGAGCATTTTGGTCTAATTTTGCACTCTGCATATAGTAATAAGACACAACAGGGTGTGCATTAAGCTCATCTTTTGAGAAGTGCAACAGTAGCTGAATAATGCACACCCTGGAGTGTCTTATTTGTAGTGGACTATGGCTCATTAATTTTACATTTAAATTTTTTCAAAACCATAAAAAAAAATCTATTCTGAGGGCAGTTATGTAATGTGTCCTTCCACTGAAAAGTATTTTCAAATAAAAACAGTTGGAAAAAGGTGAGGAAGAGCTTTGCTCAACTGCAGACCAGTGTTTGGTTTGGTTTGTGTATGGCCTGCTATGAGCAGGCTCTTGGCCTACTAATGCAGATATATAATGCAAATATATTTGGTGGTGGTTATTGTGGAAATCTATTCAGAGTTCATTCTTTTCTAGACTTTCCTTTCTTTTTGTATAATTATCTGGGCTTTTTGTCTTCCTTTTTTCCTACAAAAGTTCTCCTTTTGGTATATGAACTAATACCCCTTTCAGAACAGGTTCACATACAAAACATTTAGATGGGGATAAGACTGACTTTTACACCAGACTGGGAACTGAATGGTCACAGGTTCCTGCTGGGGAGGCAGGCAGGCATGATTTGGGGGAAGATGGTTTTGCCAGAATACCAGTGTATGTTTGTGCCTGGGTACAACAGGATTTAAAGAACGGAGGGTGTTATAAAAACTCTGTTTCGTTATGACATCACTTCAAAAGTATGAAGGAGGAGCATGTCATTTCTGCTGTTCCACATGAAATATGACGATGGTTTATCCCTTTATATAGGTTCCAACGTTGATGATGGACACCCAGTTTTCAGAATTCACACCAGATATCACCCCAATAATGCTGGCGGCTCACACCAACAACTATGAAATCATCAAACTGCTTGTCCAAAGACGGGTAACAATTCCACGCCCACACCAGATCAGATGCAACTGTGTGGAATGTGTCTCCAGTTCGGAGGTGGACAGCCTGAGGCATTCCAGGTCAAGGCTGAACATCTACAAAGCCTTAGCCAGCCCTTCGTTGATTGCCTTATCAAGTGAGGACCCCATCTTGACGGCCTTCCGACTGGGCTGGGAGCTGAAGGAGCTCAGCAAAGTGGAAAATGAGTTCAAGGCTGAATATGAAGAGCTTTCACAGCAGTGCAAGCGTTTTGCTAAGGACCTTTTGGATCAAGCACGGAGTTCCCGAGAACTGGAGATCATTCTTAATCACAGAGATGATCAGAGTGAAGAGCTGGATCCCCAAAAATGTCATGATTTGGCAAAGCTAAAGGTAGCAATAAAGTATCACCAGAAAGAGGTAAGAGTCATCTAAATGTGAAGGTGTGTGAAGGCTTCATGTACTGGGTGAAATGATTAATTTCTCTAGTGTCCAGGGGTTTGTTCAGGGTTGCCAGCTGAGAGCCAGCAGGGCTGAGTTTGGAGTGAGCGGAGAAGCATGTGCAAATAGGTTAGTTACAAACCAGGAGGTTCAGCGCGCCTTGGTGACAGCGTGAATCTGATGACAGGTGAGACCAACAGGACTGGGACTTGCTGCAGTGGGTTATGGCTTCTGTGGCACCAAGACTTTCTGTTTCTAAGATACTTGAATCAATCCCATGTCATTGTAATCCATGCCCCTGCAAAGAACAGCCTTCAGAGATTTACACATTTGTTAGCTCTGAAAGCTTTTCCTAGTAGCTGCTTTTATACAGGAACCAAAAGCTAGAAGGGGTTGCCTGGCTCATGAAGGTCTTGACTGCAGGAAATAATATAATATACAATGCACTTTCTCCAGCCACCAAATGCTTTCTAGCACCTATTCAACACTAACTCATAAAGGCCAGAGAAATTACAGCAGCGAAAGGGAGCAGGAGAGATCAAGAGCACTCTCACTGTCCCAGGTCTTCACGTTACCAGCAGCTTTGTTAGGTGAAAATGCTCATGTTATGCGAGGAAGTGGATCACGTCATGCAAATACTTCTTCACACCTGAGACACCTCAGGTTGATTCTTGCTCCTCGATTCATCTGTGTTTTAGGAACTGAGAAGCAATCCTGGAAATTCAAACTCCTGCCCATAGTACCAGAAAGGAAAGACATACTTTAGATGAAGGGCACAGAGCCTTTCGAAAGCCCTGCAAATCCAGAGATTTCTAAGTCGATTAGTAAAGGCCACAAACCCAGTGAGAATGCTGAAAACAATTTCATCAGTTGGTTCTGGATTTTCTTTCGCTTTCTAAATCTGGACAGAATTTAGCAGATGATATAGTACTGTTGGCCAGTGATGTTCCATGTTATCTGAAGGAATTTAGCTTGCTTGAGGAACTGAATTGCCATGTCTGTTAATTCTTCTGTGTCTGGAGGGCGGCAGGAGTGGTGGAAAAGCCTGCCTCATTACTCTTTTCACTGTCTTCCCCACATTTGATGCTTTGTTTTTTGCTTTGATCCAGATGAGGACAGCCTGATATGATACACTCCACCTCCGTTAATGGCTGCTTATGTCATTCGAGGTACAATAGTAAGGAAGTGAAAGATGCAGATTTTCCTTTCTTCCCTTTGGTCTGTTAAGCATCCAGAGTACTAGCCCCTTGATGCAACAAGCTGGAACCGGAGCCTCAAGCTTTCTGGGATCTAGCACATAGTCACTTACTGCTCTTACTGGGCTACTCCAGTGACGTGTCAGCAAGACTCACCGACTTCAAGTCAGGTTGTGTTTTTTACTCTAGCTGACAGGGTTAGGTAACACCGTAAGTGCTTTAGGGACACAAAGAAGTAGTGAAGAATTAGTCTGGGGAAGGGTGGTACAGTATACCAGGTCAGATGTCCCTTGCATCTAAGAAGGGCCAGAAACTCTACTTCTGTTTTTTTTACTGGCCTGATAGCCACAGATGCCGCAGCCACATACAGCCTTCAGCAGCCAGGATACCACTGGCACTGCTGTGTGTAGATCACTGCTGACTTCCAGGTCTTGTCACAGTTCAGGCTCACTATTGACATCCAAGCATAAATCTGCAGCTACCCTTATCTTGTGTTCACATTAAGAAAATACAAGTCTGAAGGAGTTCACTGTGTTTGAAATACAGTGCTGAACAGTCCTGAAGCTCTTTTATTTTCAAGTAACAAATTTTTAAACTTTGCTTGCTTGCTTGACAGTTTTTATTTCTTTTTTTTAGGCATATTTGACTGAATTCCAAGCATATGGATAAATTCCATGTTTTGTGACATATTCATGACAGTTCCAGCGTATAAATGACAGCAAATAAGCTCTGTGTTGCCAGATAAAGTTAGTGCTGTTTCCACATAGAATACTGGTGGGGAGGAACAGAATGAATGAGTTTGGGAAACCAGCACTACTGAAACCCTCACCCTACTTGGTTATTCAAAAATACTTGTGGTGTCCTGCAGGATGGTGTTTGTATGCACCTAAATATTGCAGTGGTTTTCTTATTGTGATAATTAGTCCAAAGCAAAACACCAAATAAGATACAAATGTCATTGCCAGCTTCTGGAAGAAATGAGTAGGACCATTTGTCAAGGAGACACTGAGAAATGCCTTTTAATCATGACAGAAGAATATCAGACTGAGAATTTTTGGGGGATCAGGAAGGAAAATAGAAGCAAGTTTGGTTTTGTGAAGGACAGTTCTGCAGAGAGAAGCAGCAGACTTCTTTTGAAAAGTAGATTGTCTTGTTCTGCTGAAGCTTTTTATGTCTTAACATTAAATGGAATTGGATTGATTGGATTGGATTGGATTGGATGGAGAAGCTTTTTATATCTTAACATTGACAGAGTTACAAGTCAAATCTCTAGCAGCCTAAGACGAAAATCCAAAGTGGACCTTAGTTATTTTCTGGGGCTGTAAATTGTTACTGCAGTTGTTCTTTATATTCAGTATAAAGAATGCATAATCTTACACTGATTTTAGACAAATTGCTAGACAAATTTCCTGCAGCTTTTTTTCTTTTTGAGTTAAATAAACCTCAAAATTTCCCCCCAAATATGAAATGATTCAATTTCAACTTAATCAGGCAGATAGGTTAAATTCTTTCTAGAGAAGCTGTTAAGAGGGAATTGGTAAAGAGATCATTGCCTTTGGATGGAGGGGCAGTACTGTATGTTTTGAGCAGGGAGTAGATCTTAAAGTTACTTTTTCTTTGTACCAGTGTTAAGTGATCTGGGAACTCAAGAGTATTCTTCTCCAGACACATTATTCAGTGTTCTTCTCTCCTAGGCATTTCAGATGAAGTCACTGGGCCTTCTTTTCCCCGACATTGCACTCCCATACTGAACAGCAGGTACTGGTTTGTTCCAGGTACAGAGAAGTGACAGCATTCAAATTTCTAGTGCAGGCTGATGATCTCTGGCAGTGAAAATGCAGGACTGAAAAAAATCCCAATGGGAAAAGTTAGGTATCTGTGGGCAGTTCTTGCTCCAAACTGGGCCCTTGGAGAAAAGTTTTATAAAGCTAGTTAGGCTGGTAAATATGCAGGTAAGTAAGCAATAATTTTTTAAACAGATTATAATCTCGTTAAGTGCATAAATCCTGTTGGAGATTAGACACTTATCTTCACATTTTGAAATTCCACTGCTGAATTAGGAGCTTTTGGCACCTAGCTACTGGAGGAAAATCTGATCTTGTACGTTAAGTTTTAGCTAACAGTTAGCAATCAGCGCTGCCACTGACACAAATCCCTCTTCTCTGCACTGAATCTGGTAAACATATTCATGGTATACACAACTTCATCTTTTGGTCTGGCCTGAGTGCCTCAGTCTTCACAGTGAGCAACCTGGACGAGGACTGGATTAGCAGGGGGAACCACTTCAGTTCAGTCCTACCTCCAGAGGAATACCAGCCTCATCCGAAAGGCTCCACCTCAGTCTATATCCCCAGGTAAATCCCACTGCCAGTGCATTTCTGCCTCATGATACAGATACAGATTTTGTCTTTACAAGGGTAGAAAAATTTCACATTCTATGTTTTTCAACAAAAAAGCCTGGGAGGTACAAGTTTTGATTTCTCCCAAACATTAACATGTGTCAAGTATTTTATAAGCTGACAAATGTGTCACTCATGAGGCAGAAGACCTTTTCCCTTTGGAGGAGGGCCAAAACAATGGAAAAGAAATGTCATGCTTTTCATGTTTCTTCTTAATAAACCCATATATCCTAGAAGGTAAATTGCTGTTTACACAGAAGGAAAAATTTCAGTTATACAGGAAAGATTGAAATGTGCCCTAAGGTACCTTTCTAGTATATCTTCTGGTAGGAAATGTTAAAACCATGCTGTGCAATGTTCACAAGCTCCCTTTCCATCTCATCTTAAGTGTAGAATGGTTGTGTCCTCAGTTTCAAATTACAAAAGTGCTCTGAACATTTCTTTAGAAGATAGGAAGGATATAATAGTTGTGATCACCGTTTGCATGGCAGTCACAAAATATTAGAAAAACTGAGGACAGCTCTAGTACACTGCAAAACACAATGAGCTACATGCAGCACAGGCACGTCAGCTTTCTCCAAATCCACTTTCAAAAGAAATTATTTTTGTAGGATCACAAGAATTCATGGTCTATGAGACAAATAGGCTCTTCTTAAATGCTCTGTAGAATATGGCATTTGTCTTCATATTATTACTTTTCAAATTACTTTATTCATGACTAATTTTGGAAGGAGAAAGGTGCTGAAGACTTAATAAGAAAAGGCACAGCTCAGCTGTTGAGGATCAATCTTCACTATGCTATTCTCGCACCAAATTAGCTCTGCATTTGTTAATTTGTTTGCATTTCTAAGAAAAGATAGGGAAAAGTCATCTCTTAGGATCTTGCTGGTCACGTAAAGCACAGTTGTATGCACAGTGTACCATCGCTGTATTCGAGAATCAGAGCATAGGCTGAAAGCAAATATAATTTTTATGTCCTTTAAAGTTTTTTTTCACGTTGCCAAAATAATGCAAAGCAACCATAGTGTAGCAGTGAATCAGGTCTAAAAGAGCAAATTTCTGCTTGTATGTAACATCCTGCTAAGCCACAACAATAGCAATACACGTTCCTGTTCCTGCTTTCCTGCTCTCCACCACAGGTCATTCACATCTTCAAAATGCACTGAAGCATCACACTAGTGGGGTTTTAGTGCTTTGCTTTTTTCTGGTATTGGTAGTTGCAGATGGCTGTGCAGGTTTAGTTTGTATGTCTGTAAGAAACACACACCATGCAAGGCACTCAGAAAAAAATGTATTTTACCTATGACTGTGTTGCTCAGGACTTTCACTGAATTAGATCAAAGGAGTGCAGGAAATTCCCTCTCAGAAACCTTAACCTTAGTCT